ATCTCAGAGGGCATATGCTCTGCCACCCCCCCCCAGATTGCCTGTGCCCCCTCCAACCCCCCCACACACACTGCCTGTACCCACACTCCCCTTCCCCACACACCTACCCCGTTCCCCACACACTAGGGAGATGGGGCAGCAGGCAGCTGGTTGGGAGTGAGGGGCACCAGCGCCCCCCACCCAGCAAAAATAAAAAAAGTTAACATCTAAGAACAAGAGCATAAAGTCCAGAAGCAGGATTTATACCAACAGCTGTGAATGTTTAAATATAACAAGATGTTTAATGAGATACAGCCTAAAGACAGATTTTGCAAAAGCAGTTTACATCAATATTGATTTTTCCCTTTGTTCTTTCAGGCTCAAGTTTCTCCCTGTCTGTATTACCGTGAGGTGCAAGATCCACCTCCAGCCAATACAGCAGAAAGGCTGGCCTCACCTGCTGAGCCACTGGTGAATCACAAACCCAAAATCTGTAAACTGGTGAAGGGCCCAAGCGGATTTGGCTTCTGTTTGAAAGAAAGCAAGGACATGCCTGGGCAATTCTTCCAAGAGGTACTAATCATGGGCTTCTAGTCTAGGAGAATATGCAGCAGACCCAAGGAAGAAATGTTTGGGCAACAAACATCTCTTCCCTTCTTTCCCTCACAGTGCGATTCCAGACAAACCAGGCTAACCCACGCATAGCAAGAAGGCAAAGTCTGTCCTATACACCTTTAGCTAAGTTAGGCCTTTGAAACCAGGATGGAGGGGCAAGTCTCTGCATGATTACTGTCAGGAGGTTAAGATTTAGGATTGGAAGAAAAGGGGCCTAGGATTTATTGCCAGTTTGTCCACAGATTTCTGGACTAACTTGCATGTTTTTGTCTTATTTCCTTCTTCTTCCTTAATAGTCCTCTGTCCCATAGACACACTCTATTTTCATAAATATTTCTCTTTAGATTTTTGAAAGCCATGGGATGCTTAAGAAGAAAAACATACGTCAGTCAATTTTCCTGTTCCTCAGTTGTATAGTTGGCACTAATCCTGTTCTCTGCTGCAACTAGAGTATTGACTACCACCACTCCACTCACTTCCCCTCATTGAAAGTCTTACGGTAAACCCCATCCAAGGGCAGATGATAAAATTAGACTGTTACAGTTTTAACTACAATAAGGTCTCTTCCCTTTCTCCTTCTCCTACTAAGTTGTGCTCCAGGATAACTGTCTCCAAACCCTACATTACCCTCCTGCATTGAAAGAGGTCTCAGATCTTGCACTCTCCTTTTACCATACTGCATGTTAACATACCTTTTCCTGGTACTGAGCTAATATCACACATAGAACCTGTGTTTGCAGATCCAGAAAGGTGGGCCAGCTGACAAAGCAGGCCTGGAAGAGAATGATGTTCTGGTGGAAGTGAATGGTGTGAACATCCAGAATGAACCCTATGACAAGACAGCCACAAGAATCCAGGATGGTGATGACAAACTGACGCTGCTGGTGTGCACAAAAGCTGCCTATGAATACTTCAAGTCTCAGAATATCCCTGTCAGTGCCTCTATGACAGATCCACTGCCTGATACAAATGACCCTCCTGCTTATACAGAGAGTCCTCCAGCAGAACCAGAAAGGAACTCACCAGAACCAAGAGAGAGGGTAGGTAGTCCCAAGTTACTCGATTAGCAAGGGGTGGAAAAAGTAACTCTTTCCAGTCACTGTGTGCATTTGACACGAGATCTATCAATTCAAGCTGCATGGAGCTAGGAAAGAAGGAGCTAGGTGCTATTCCTATTTACACACCACCACCCGACCTATTAAGTTCTGACTCTGCAGATTCTTGCAGTGAGGGTCTCAGCAAATCAGCCTGGGTTTTCAGAGCTACAGCCAAACCTTTTCCCTTTTTGTAGGCAACCTTGACAGATTTGGTACAGAAGCCAGAAAAGAGCAAAGATCTCGTATGATAGGATTTAACAAATTGGTTACTTTTCTTAAAATACATTACTAAAATCATTCACTGACTACTTATGCCACAGCAGACAGGCAAGAATACAGGATGGTGGTGACAGCTTGACACTGCTGGTGTGCACAAAAGCTGTCCATGAATACTTCAAGTCTTAGACTATCCCTATAACTGCCTCTATGGTAGACCACTGCACAACACAAATGACTCTCCTGTTTCTAGAAAGAGCCTTCCAGCAGAGCCAGAAAGGACCTCACCAGAATCAAAAGAGGGTGGATAGTCCTGAGTTACTAGATATCCAAGGGGTAAGCACAGGTTCAAGTACAGGCAGATCTAGGGTCCGCCCCCCCCCCTTTGCCTATGTACATATTTCTTGCAACTAAAAACATTCAGAATATTCTCCTTATTGCTACTGTACAGGCTGGCTCATCCTCCTCTTCACTATCAACTACCTCATCAGAGAAAAAGGGTGACGAGGATGACAATACGGACTTGTGATAAGACAGACTGTACCAGACAAATCAAGACGGATGCCTCTCAAATCTTGAAAAGAGCGCTCTTCTTCCATGTAGTCCTTGTTCTTTTATTGCCCAGAGCCAAACCATTCCATGGCACATCATCTTTGTGAGGAACAGCAGGCCAGACACTCCTGTAACTCAACTCTCCCTGAAGGGAATCCTCTGCAGAACTCCTAGTCACTTAACAAATGCTGCAAATCATAGTTAATTGGCTTGCTGCACTGTGAAGTGGGCAGTTAGTTACTTACTTGTATTAGTGCTCTGTGAAGGCTTAAATGACTAATAAGGGATATAATTAAGTATATCATTGAAGGGGGAGGAAATGTGATTCACAAATCAATATGTATTTTAGCCTTTTAAGGACATGAAAGCTAACTGCAAAGGAATTGATCCATCATCTCCCATGAGAGGGGCCTTTCCTACTAATCAAAGCACATCAACTGAATCACTCGCTCTGCAGATTACATCCCATGTTTACTGTAATACAATCACTCCAACCCAGCAGATGTAATACATCATAAGCCAATATATTCAGCGCAGAGCACTCCTTTCCTTTGTGCTAATGAACTATGGATACTGTCCCTTTCACAACAATAAGTTAACTTAATCATATGCTCTTCAGAACCTCTGAGCATTATTTCCTTCTCTGCAGCTTCAAATGACAGCAGTTAGAACAATGTAAGTAATTCACAGCATGTCCAGCTTTTGCCTAACTCTGTGCCAACACACTGTCTCTAATGCAATGTGAGCACCACTGTAATACTGATAGTGTCTCCTACGCTGTAAGTCTGAGACAATGCTGCAATAAATCGTTCAGAGTGGCTATTTCTCTCTCTCAGGTCTTACCCCTGCCATCTATGATGTATGTCCCAGAACAACTTCAGAATGAACAAGGCCTGAGAGAATGGCCTTCAGGAAGCTACAAGTTTAAATTATGTGACTTAAATTTACTTTAGTGAATAAATTAAGCCAACAAGGGATATAGACTGATGTAGAAGAATCCATGGGTCAGTGGGGAACACTGAATTTATAATATAACAAACTATGCGGTGTTGTGATCTTTGACTCGAGTGAACAGTAACCTAAAGCCCTGGTTCCATTTAAATTACAGGATTAAAAAACCTGAGGCCTGGATTCAGATTCATTAGATAGAAAACAAAGATACGAATCCAAATCCAAAGGAAGCTGGACACTACTGAAATATGTCTCCCTGGAATCTCTCATCTCCCTCCTTCTGCCAGGCAGAAACACACTCTGGTCCATGCTTAGCAGAGTCTTTGGGGATGACACAAAACAACTGACATGCTAGTGTGAGGTATTACAAAAAAACAGATTTAATTCCACAGATTTAGACACTTGGCTCCAGAATCACCACGCTCCAAAACCAGATTAAGAATGGTTCATTTTAACATACTGTGTTTCCACAGTGCCCTCTTTGAAGATTTTATTCCATTCCTGATTGTAACAGGTTTCCCCTTCAGTCAATATCTCCTGAAGTCCTGTAAGGCGTCACTGTTACACGAGGGTCCTATTCCCTGACTCTCAGCTGTCCGTTACTTGTCTCTGCCTCTTCCGCATGTTCAAGCCATGACACTCACAGGATGAGCCACAGAGCTGAAAAAAAGACAATCATGGAAGTTCAACGAGCCAGTCATGCTGTCTGAGCACAGAGGAGCTGCTCTTCTTTTCTCTTATACCTGTCGGTACTACAGAGCTGCAGCCAGCCAAAAGGAGAGGTACCAGAACAGTGGGTTAAACCAGTACAGCCTCAGAGTGCCATGTGCTTCTCTGGGGCCTGCTTGTGTGCCAAGTAGAGGAAGAGGATGCTGGAGAGCGCGCTAACCAGGAATATGACATCAAACCAACGGTGATAGAAGTTGAACTGCAGCTCCCCCAAGACTTCTGTAATGATAGTGCGGTACTCTAGCGGCATGCTCATTCGGATCAGGAGCACTGAAGAAACAAAGTACATCCCCTGCAAAAAAGACCCAGGAAATGTGTCAGCTAAGTATTTCACAACTGGCTGCTCTTGATGAGATGGGACAATGTAGCAAAGGCTGGCCGGCTGGTCTGCATACTCACCATGATCTGTGCCAACAGCAAAACAATAACATTGGAAGACTTGCTGCTGGAGATGGCATAGAAGAACTGTAAAGAGGAAAAAAAGCAACTGGAAATAGGTTTCTTGGCACTGGGCAGGTTTGTGGTCCCGCGCATCAGAATGTGGAAGGAGTACACATTCCAATCTTTCCCCATCAGTGCTAGAAACCAGCACTGAAAGAAACATATACCATGCTTCCTGGGGGGTTATACACACTTTTTAAAAAGGAGCAGGACCCCACCTGCAGAACAGCCAAGTGCTGAGCATTTAAGCACATCTCACTGAACAATTTACCAATGTTGTTCAGCCAGCCTGCATAGAGACTCAAGCCCCTCAGAATAGATTCTAGCCCAGCCCCTCACCCCAGTCCAATTTGAAGAGTAGAATAGCTGAGTCTCCCCACTGTGTGCAGACATGATTTACCTATCACTGTACTAAAGAGTTAATTCTCTGCCAGTTCTACAGAAATGCCCTGTCATTTAGATGCAGCGATCCAGACCCTACACACCAGTCCATAGGCTGGACTAACAAATCCCACCTGCCACATCACACTTCCTTTCTTAACATCTCCCACTCTTCTCAGAGGTAACACTAGGGATGAATGTAGACTGCACACCTGGCAACAATTAGGGCCATAACCGCTAGACCTGATTCACGCAGGTAGTTGGCAGTTAAAGCTATAGTAACCAATGGATGATGTAGGAACATGCTCATGATAAAACAGACTATAAAACACTTATTAGTTGCTAGTTAGAACCCTAACATTTCTTGCATTGCTCTGTGCAAACAGGAGGCTCTTATACCATGTTCAGGGACTGGAATGGCTATGGATGGTCCTGTTAAGTTGTTCCATGTTAATAATAAAAAGCTAGCCTTTGTTTCATCTCTATGAGCACTTTACCCCCCAGACCCACTCCCAGCAAGGACCAACATCCCAGTCCTTTTCAGATCCTATTTGTTCACTCCCTATATATAGATATCACAGGCCCTACAGACCTAGAAAGTTTACAGTGTGTCCTCCTTCCCTAAGTTAGAAAAACACAGGTCTCATGGACTACAATTACAAGACAAGCTTCTGGCCAGATGTACCTTTGTGAGTGTGATCAATAAGCCCCTGATGGAGGTGACGATGATTATTCCAACAAGGATAAAGGAAATGTGCTGTGACCAGAATTTTACCTGTGGCAACAAAAACAGGAAATGGTTAAATCCCTAGAGCTATCCCTGCATATAATATGCATGGGTGTACAGCCAACAAGATCTCTCAATTCTCATATCCAGACACTTGCTGCAGTCAGATTTAGGTACTTACATGTACTCGTATCACACAAATGTACCCACCTGTACTTAACATGTGCAATTACATCTACATGGTATATGCACAGATCTAACCTACATGAATGAAGTAATTGTGAACACAAAGTGGTGCCTTACAGAAAAGTAAACACAAGAACACACACACAATACGCACATATATAAAATGTGATTGATTTGTAGACAAATGCAATATATGAGACAAGGCCACTGAAGTGTTTCCATCAGTTCCCAAAAACGACATAAACCACTGCCCTCTTCTGGCTATAGCCTACAGAAGATACTGTTAATATTATGAGTGGTCCTGGTAGCATCTCTCATTAAGGTTGCCCAAAGAGTCTCCGAAGCTCTATCTTGCATATGCTTCTAACTGTGCCAATCAAAGAGTTTGGGCTGATATTTTCCATTCTTGGTCCCTGTGCATGTATAGTACTGGGCTATTGGTTTCATTTTTGCTTTTAAATCTCAACCTAAACAGTTCAGCTGTTTTCCAGTAAGGTTAGGGGAAAATGTGCTACTCTACTTGTGTGAAAATAATTCTGACCATCTTTTCTTAGGAACGCACCAGTGCCCAATTCTTTGACGCAAGAGATATAAAATTTGGTAGTGGGAGAACTGTGCATCAAGGATGTAGCTTTAGATGTCCTTCCAAAAAATCCACCTACATTTGGCCTAGCTATTAGCCTTGGGGAGGGAGGGCGGGGCACAGAAATCACAGTGCACACATGCTGAAGCACTTCAAGATAGATGAGGTAAAGAGAATGAGCCTGGGATAAGTGGGCCTGGGCTATGAAAAGAGAAGACTGGGACAGGATGAGGCATTGCCACAGTTTTGGGGAGGAGGAGAAAAGCCTACATCTGACAAGGACCTTCCAGAACTGACATTCCTCCTACTGAGTCTCATCAGTCAGCTGCCTACCTCAAATGGTAAATGCTCGAGTTGAGCACAGTTCTTGTGGGTATCTAAAAGATGCATTTTTTTCCCTCAGTTAGCTATTTTAAAAAACCCAACCCCCTGGAAGACACACACACACACACACACACACACACACACACACCCACACACACACCCACACACACACACACACACACACACCCACACACACACCCACACACACACACACACACACACACCCACACACACACCCACACACACACACACACACACACACCCACACACACACCCACACACACACACACACACACACACCCACACACACACCCACACACACACACACACACACACACCCACACACACACCCACACACACACACACACACACACACCCCCCCCATGATGGGACAGCATTATTAAACTAGCAAAGCCAAGTGCTCAAAAGATAGAAAATGCTTGTGCAACCTTAATCCAAATCCTTTATGCGCATCCACATGACACTGTCTAATTACATGAAGGCATGCTGCTTTTTGCCCAGGATTACTATCTTCTTCAGTGCCCAATAAAGAACTGCTCCAAGGATGAATCAGGGCTGTGCAATGAAGGAGGGCACTGTCTGCAGGAACCCTGCTTCCGTGGCAGTATTTGGAAGGTGTGTAGCCAATGAGGCAAAAGGCTGCAAGACAAAGGAGGTCTCATCTTAAGGTAATTGAATGCTATCCCATGAGAACTAACGGGATTTCATCTCTGCCTCTGTCCTGCCAGTCAAGTTCTTTATACTGAGCTTTTTACAGATAACTGATAATTATGATTCTCATTTTCTATGTGTCTGACTAGAAACCTTAGGGTCTGATCTGCAGTTCACTTACAGCTGCACTGAAGTCAGAGGAAGCTCTATTTTCAACCGATTTGGGGCTATGTAATGCTAAGTAGACTGAAAAAAATCTGACCTGTCATCTCAGACTCATCACTTAAAACGATCACTCAAAATATTGGATGCTGTGTCTTCTCCTCCCTTTTGACACATCAGGAAACTGCCCCTTCTACAGCACCTGCTATTTAAATACTCTGCAAGCAGTTAATTTAGACTCAACAGCTCCTGTAAGGCAGGCTCATTTCACAGATGGGAAAAATGAAATGAGGAACTTGTACAATTGAACAGCAGGGCCAGAAATAAAATCCAGACTGCCTGGCTCCCAGTTCTCAGTATAAGAAAGTCCCCTCTGCCAGTTAGTGAGAGGACCTATAGAAACAACTGCATTTAGAAAGTGCAGTCAGAACACTAGCATCCCAATTGACAGACTAGGGGACGGAAGCCAGGACAAAGAAAACAGGAAGTCTGTCTCCCTAGTCCAGTAAAAGAAAATCATCAACAAATAAGACTGACTACAAACTACACTAACCAAAAAAGCACAATACAAAGGGGACGCAACACAGCATTCTTTGTCACCCCGTTTGAAGAGGTGATACTTTCCCTGGGGAAGCAAAAGAATTGAAACCTGTTATAGAATTATGCCTGACAAAAAAGAGTAACTTTGGATGGAGCACAATTTGAGACTAGTTATGGAAATAGTATGAAGACAGTTATTCAGTTAAATACAAGAGAAAGGAGATACTGCACAGAATTCAAAGATTTGTAAAACACACTAAATATGGAAGACTTTGTAACAGCATACATAAAAATGCACATGTAGGGAACAGACTGGTGGATCAGGCCTTTGATAAAAGAATATAGCCTTTCACTTCTAGGCCTATGCTCCATTTCAAACCCAGGTAGCTGGAACAGAGTGCAGATGGTATTTTAGTCAATATGAAAAATGGTGGTGTCATCTGTTCAGTCCCTGGAGAACCACTAAGCACATCAGAAAACTGTTTCCAGTTAGTGTCTCAGCAGAGACAGTAAAGAAAAGAAGGGGGAATAGAAGCTGAACTGCCCGGCTTCCCCTACAGGCTGTCCCTCAAGGTCAAGGCTGAAGTAGTTTGATGAGCAGTGTGGTGATCCACTAACTTGCATTAGACCTGTTCTGTGGGCAAATAAATGGCAGATAATCCTCATTATTAACTTTGCTAGGAACATGATTAAAAGTTGTGCTCTATGCAAATGATCTGCCTACCTATCACTTATAAGACAGGCTGATGACTATGGCTAGACAGAGGGAGGTAGTTAGCCATGTTAGTCTGAAGTCAGAAGACACAAGCTTTCATGAACCCAAGTTCATTTCATCAGATGCTGTAAAGATTACTCTGCTCTACACTGTCCTTTCACACCCTCTGATGAAGTGAACTTGGGTTCATGAAAACTTGTGCTCAGATATGGGCACATCTATAGGTGAGCTTTAATGCGCATTAGCCTATTTTAAGAGCATTAAAGCATAACAAAAAAACTGCTTTCATTAATGCATATTAAAATAGGCTAATGCAGCTTTTTCTAGTACCTCACCATGGAGATACTAAATTTAATGCATCTTAACAGAAGCACATTAATGAACATGTAGATTTGCCTTATATATCTCATTTAGTTAGTCTATAAAGGTGCATATCTACCCTGCCTTCTATGGACAGAGACAGACTACATCTATTTCTAGCATGGGGACAGGTTGGAGTCAACATGTCATAAAAGGTACTTCAGTAGGAAATACATGAAGGTCACGCTCTCCATCACAAAATTATGCTCATATATTAATGTACCAAAAGCAAAGTTCCCACTACTTTTCCCACCCTCAAAATTGAAAAGGGACTACGATCTGTGACCCAGATCCCCCCTGATCCCCATGCCTTCCCCTCCACCCCAACTCACTCAATAGCAGGTTATGTTGTAAGGGATAAAACAGGAATTACTAAGTGAATGAGGAATTTAAATGGCTCTCACATCAAACTGGATTCCTAGATAATTTACAGTGATCTCAATTCCTCTTGTGACTGGATCAGTCTTCCCAACTCGATCAAATACAATATTGATGGTTGCCTGAAAAAGAGAAATATGCATCACTGCAAGAGAACATGGCATACACACCACAGCAATGGGTAAGACATACATGCACACCTTTTCCTTCTTTTCTGCTGTATAGGACTATTCAAGGATTAAAATAAAGTTAACTGAGAACATACAAAATGCATGGGCCTTGCTGTTCTGATGCACTATAGAGTCAGATACATGCAAAGAGCTACCTCACACAGATAGCAATCCCATTTGCAGACTCCAAAAGCAGGGAACAGAAAGAAAAACTGAAAGACTACTCTCGAGATGCAGACCCAAAGCTGCGTGCAAAGTACAATCTAGGAGAGATACAACTCTCCAGGTAAACTGTATCTAAGAACAACAAAATAAGACTTTTACATACCATGAAGATTTTCCAGACACAATAGATGGAGAAAAAGTAGCCCAGAAAATTAAAGTATTTCCCCTGGAAAGTTCTGGAGTATTCTATTCTCTCCTGAAGAGTGGGAAAAAAACATAATAGTTCCATGTTCATCACAAGAAATTCTGTTCATACATTTTAAACCAGCATCAATAATACTCACGACTACCTTGTCCTTCCACAACAATTTTCATCACCCTTATGTTAATATAGAAAGCTAAACACTCATGTGAGAGAGGTCAGTAAATAGCATCTGCTCTTTCAAATGGGAAAATTAAGGCACTGAAGGGGTAAGTGGCTTACCAAAGGTGCCACACTAATGGAATGACAGAGCTGGAGAGAGAACACAGGTCCTCCAGACTGGCAGTTCTGATTGCCACTAAACTGTGCCCCCTTCTTAAATTACAGCATTAACTCATGTTACAAATCAGCATGAACTTCAGAAGAATCTGAAAACTCAGCCCTGAAGTACAGTGAGAGGCCAGGAGAGGCTGCACTATAGTGAAAGACCAGGCTGCAAAAGAAGTCTAGGATAGGGCTTTACAGAGGAACTGCAGGTAAGCCCCTAAGCTTCCCCCTCTTTCCTCTCCTAGCACAAGCTCAAATCACTGCCTTTTAAGGCAGGATACTGGAGCCAAGACATATTTGAGCTGGGGGAACACTGCCATCCAATTCCCTAGGTTTGTTTGTTTGTTTTCAAGCTTTCAGCAGTTTTCATCTTGGCCCACAGAATATGAATTCAGTTCCTCCTGCCTAATTCCATTTCTCCTCTCCCAAACTGTCATCGCTGTCAGCTTGTGTATCTGACATCTGGATGGTTTCCCTGCTCCATACCTTTGTTGCATGCAGGTCAGCAGTTTCCAGAAAAAGCTGCCGACTCAGCTCTTCCAAAGCATCCACTTCCTGCTGGATAAGGGACAGATCTGGCAAATCATACAAGTCAAGGGTAGGAGCTCCTATAGGAGTTTCACACACATTTCTGAGGCTCCCTCCATTGCTCTGCTTCCTGCAGAGACACAGTCTCTCCTTATATCCTATGAGAAATACCTAGTATGAGACCAGTACTTGAGCGCCCTCTGCTACAGCATAGCTAGGTAATACAACTCCTTTGAAAGGGGATCTGCATTGCAAATGGAGGGACAGCCATGAAAAAATGGAACTGGGTCTCCCCCAAAAACAAACTGCTTTGTTCTTACAACATTCACACCCCCTGAACTCCCTTATGCCACTTCCCCATCTCCTCCACCTACAGGACTCCTGCTGAGGGTTACAGATTGGATGGCTTCCCTACTCCCCATCCCTCTGGCCTTCACGTGGCTACAGAACCGTACCCATAGGGCTCTAAGTAAAGCTCCTTGCCTCTCCACTGAAGTATTATTAACATTGGACACTTCAAAGCAGTCTAGGTAGTTTGGCAGAAATTACTGCCTCTCTACAGCTCTAACCATTGAACAAGGTCCCTCTTTCTCTTTCCTCCCTGCAGGAACCCTTCCTATCCTGTTGTCATTCAACTATTTCCCCAGGACTGCACATACCTGAGCAGGCATCTCACACTGCGCAAGCTCCCTGGGGCAGAGCATATATGGGGGCCTGTGATTTGTGAAGTGCTGTATGGTGCACCAGCCTCCACATCTGTTTTTTCCTATTCACATTTCCTTTCATCTCAGGAGGGCACTTTGCTGCAGCCAAACAGTCTGGCACCAGCACACAGACAAAGGATACTCTCACTGCCTGGGGCAGATGTTGTAACACTCTTGATCATGCCCCAGAAGCCAGTGGGCTTATTGTGCACTTCCCCTCTCTGGAACATTGTCCTGTGGGCCATTGCTATCCTGAAAAGAGAGACAATTCAAGTCCTCACTAAAGGATGCCATGAAACTCATTCAGCACAGACCAATACCCCTGCTGATGTGGAACCACCAATCCTGTTCCGTAAGAGACACCCTACACCCTACCTTGTCAAACCAGCTGCTACTCTGTTCACTTGTCAACCAATACATTATTTTGACCTCTCTTTAAAAATTACAAAATGGATTTAAATGCAACTACAGAGTCACATGTGTTATCAGCCATGTGGCCTACCAGCCTCCCTTCTCCCATAAGCTCCCCCTAAACCTGTGACTCAACTGCTTCACAATCCCAAGGAAGACCACAAGGCTTGTTGCATCCTGCTGTCCCACAATACGCTTCCCTGTCATTGGACAAGCGCTCCCTCCCCAGTGCTGTCACAACTGGATGATGCATAGCAATACTCTTTGATACTCAGTCATTACTGGGCTGGGTGACCAGATTTAATGAAGCAGGCTCTCATCATGGCAATACAGAACTGGAAGCTTTGTTGCCTTCGACCACCTGCATGTGACCTCAAAAACTGGTTCAAATGCAAACATAGCTGCTGTGCATTATCCCTCATGTCCCCATCTATGCTGTGTCATAATCCCTACAAACGTTGTCGTCTCCAGCCTCATTGCTTCACACCTCTCTCCACTGAAACGTGCGAACTACTTATCCACCCCTAAACCAAGAGCTATTCACGGTACTGTTGATGCAATCCGCCATTCAACTGTGCTTATGGGGCCCCTTTTTGTTATCTGCAGGCAGCAGAGCTACATTTGGCATCCAGCCCTCTCCAAGATCATTGATAAGCAATGTAATCAAAATCACCCTTCATTCCCAACTCAAAATACTGACCTTTGTGACTCCTAGCACTCCAGAGGAGGAGCAACAGCCACGGACTTCCAATAACAGAGAACTTATCGCTGTTTAATCCCTCCCAATGTATCCCCACTCCAACAAGAATAGCTTTTTTAACCTTGCTCCCCACCCCCGCAGAATCGTGGACCCTATTTACAGCCCTATTTTATCCTTAAAGATTGCCAAACACCTTATCACCTGCAAGCAAGACAGTGCTGCAGTTATTTCTAGGGCAAAGTGCAGCAAACAGCCAAATAAACAACAGTATGGACAGCAGGAGTAGATATGGCCTGAAACTGTGTCCACATTTGGGCCCCCCCACAGACAGGATGTGGACAAATTGGAGAGCCCAGCAGAGGGCAAAGAAAATGGTTATGGGGCTGGGGCACATGACTTATGAGGAGAGGCTGAGGCAACTGGGCTTAATTTAGTCCAGAGAAGAGAAGACAGAGAGGATTTAAGAGCAGCTTTCAGCTACCTGAAGGGGGGTCCAAAGAGGATGGAGCTGGACTGTTCTCAGTGATGACAGATGATAGAACAAGCAGCAATGGTCTCAAGTTGCAGCAAGGGAAGTTTAGGTTAGATATTAGGAAAAATGTTGTCACTAGGAAGGTCATAAAACAGTGGAACAGGTTACCCAGAGAGGTGGTGGAATATCCATCCTCGGAGGTGTTTAAGGCCCAGCTGGACAAAGCCTTGGCTGGGATGATCTAGTTGGGGATGGTCCTGCTTTGAGCAGGGGGTTGGACTAGATGACCTCCTGAGGTCCCTTCCAACCCTAATTTGCTACGATTCTATGAAATTGCATGGTACTTTTAAGAACTACCGGTATATTTAACATGCATACACAAACCAGCCAGGAACTCAAGGATTGAAGACCACATGCTCAAGATCCCAAACAGAAATTGTATGGGGCTGAATCTATTGTCTAGATAGAAGAATGGTTGATCTGATCCTACGCAGATTTGATAATATGGTTTTAGCGAGTCTAGACATTTCAAACCCAAGGCTTCCAATACTGTGCATTTGCATACAACTGCAAAAAACTTCTACCATGCTAAGAAGCTGAGACTGGTTCAGCCTTTGCTTTACTGCACACAGGAAAATGAGCAAAATGTAGGAGAACAATTCCCATGAAAAAAAACTAGTGGGAAAACTATTTTCAATGCTTCTCTACCACTGAGGAGGAAGAGGCTGGGTATGAGTGCTGCTATGAGAGGAAAAACAGGAAATGTCATGTCTAGCAAAAGGAAAAATAAATCGCTTCCCACCACCACATCGCCTGATAAGCCTGAGGGGCTATCAGGAAGACTTGGGTTTCCATCAATAATTCTGAAGGTGGCAATCAAGCAGCTGACAGGATTGTAATGGCAGCCATACAAAGAAAAACATCACTCATTCCTTTCCCACTTCTGCCCACCAACACTGCACTCAGATTTACAAAAGTCTGCAGTTGAAGCTCTACCTTTATATGCACATTTGTGTCTAAGTGATCCATTGCTTTTGTCAGGGAAAAACAAAACTTGAGCTCCCAAGACAGCTTTCCAAATTGCTAAGAGTCTGTAGCATTTTACATGAAAGGATACAGTTGAATGCAATCCCCAGGTGTTTAACACATAATAGATGCCATTTCTTAATAGCATGGGAAACATGCTAAACCCTCTGGGTGCTGTTTGGCTACTGGAAGATAGGCAAGACCTGGCAGATGCAAGTCCCAATGATTCCCGTACCTTAATCCTAACTATATGCCCCTCAGAGACCTGAGGTGATTTACACTGTAGGTCACAACAAACCACTGAGCACTATAACCCACAGAGACTTCACTTCTGTAGTGTGTGGACAGCTGGCAACCATCTTATAAAACTGTGGGGCCCTACTAAGTCACCTTGGGCTTGATAGAGTCCCTCACTTGCTATATCACTTTGCTCATTAGCTAAGGCTTTAAACTTGTCTTTCTCCTCCCCACTTCGGAATGTAAAATCTAAATAAGCATCTGAAGGGGAACAATTAAAGAAGATATATAAACTAAAAGTTGCCCTGCGGCAGATGTTTTATGGCATCCATGCACCCGGAGCCATATTCAGGGGTTTGCTTCCATCTCTTTGCTGTGTAATACTAGTGCCAAATAGCACTAGAGGGCTACAGATCATAGTGCAGATCAAGTCCTTGATGATCTGCAGTGAGAATACAGCCAAGCCTACACTATAAACTGTTGCTGGCATGGTAGGGCTGGTCAGGGCTGCGAGGAGGTACAATCTGTAAGCTGCAAAACTGTGCCAGCCAAAACCCTTGGTGGAGATACAGATATACCATGCTTCTGCTCTTGTAGCCTAATCGTGCTCAGAGGGCATGGAACAAGCTATGCCAACAAAAGCAGTCTTGCCAATTTAAGCTGTAGTCACACTAGGAGTACTCTGTCAGTGGAGTAAACTTTGCTGGTTATACCAGCAGAGCTTTCCAGACTGAGACCTGGCCCCAGACAACAGTAAAACTTTCTCTACACTGGTCTGTCAACATGCCGCAACTTTGGCCAGGAAACAAAACATCTAGAGGACAGAAGAGAGCTCAGTATCAAAGGAGCAGTTACACGGTTGAAACTGCTAATGAAAGGTCCAGTTGTAGTGGTTTTAGAGGATACAGATGCTCGGTCATTAGAAAACAGGCTGAAGCTAACCATGTATTTCATGCAAGCCAAACTGCAAAATAGCAGCAATTTATTCAGTGCCACTTCAGAGGAAACAGAGACTGTTTAGGGCATAAACCTCCATGACAGAACAAAACAGATCATGCTATCAGGCCACTAAACCAGTGCAACAATGAAATAAACATTTCCAACCTAGTAAGGTCAATTGTTTCAAGAACTCTCAGTCAGTTATGTAACTATTTCCAACCTTTCATAGAATCACACAACAGTAGAGCTGGAAGGGATCCCGTGAGGTCATCTAGTCCAGCCCCCTGCTCAAGGTAAGGTCAACCTGGACAAAACCATCCTAGTCAAGTGTCTGTCCAACCTACTCTTGAAAATTTCCAGGGATGAAGAGTCCACAGCTTCCCTAGGTAACCTGTTCCAATGCTTGACCACCCTCATAGTCAGAAAGTTCCTCCTCATCTCTATCCTAACATTCCCCTGCTGCAGCTTGAAGCCATAGATCCTAGTTCTCTTCCCCATGGCCCCAGAGAAAAGTCTATCTCCATCCACTTTGTAATTGCCCTTCAGGTACTTGAAGACTATTATTAAATGCCCCCCGGCTCCACTAAGTTCTCTCTTCCCCAGACTAAACAGCCCTAGTACTTTCAGCCTTTCCTCATAAGTCATGTTTCCCAGGCCTCTAATCATTTCTGTTGCTGACCAGGAATGTAGGTCTGACAGCTAAAAGCTTGATGGCACCAAGTTGATTTTATCCCCACAAGATGTAAACCTGTGAGCTAAAACATCTTTCCTCTGCAGCATTCTCCTCACCTCTTTTTTTTGCTGATGATCATATCCATGGTTTGAAGAAGACGGCGCTCCAGTGCAAGGATATCTGCATCTGTAACATTCCTGCAAGAGGCATGCAGCACCCCATTAGCCATGGTACTTCATTCCAGGGAGAATGGGAAGGATGCAGAGAATTAAATGGGACAAACAAACAGGATCTGAAAGACCCATGCAAGCAGAGCACATACCTGTGATGGAAGGGGTCCTGCAGTGCACACAGGAGAGCTAAGGGCAGTGTGCCTGAGGGGCTAGGGAAAGGAAAGGCACCAAGGCCAAGCCTAAAGGGGAACCTGAAGGGCAAATCTCTAGAAGGAAAGTACAGAAAAAATTCCATGAGGCTGCTCTTACCTGAGAAAATAGGACATGTACGTGTACGGACAGTTGACAGCACCGAACCCCGACAGCAGAGCCATGAGTGTCACTCCAATTACGCCCACCCGGCTGATGAGCTGCTCTATGGACAGGATCCCTGAGAGAGAGAGAGACGAGACAATATCAGGAACCATCTGCTTTTCCTGTCCTGTTCAAGACATCAGTGCCCTCACAATGGAACATGCTCACTCACTCAATTACTTATCAGAGCTAATGGCCTTCACAGTCCAGGTGCTGAAGGCAATTAGAAGCAAGTGCAGGCAGCAGATAGGGAAGGAAGGAAAGGAATGAAACTCAGGGAGGCATGTGAAACTCTAAGGCTTAAAAACCAGTCAGGAAACCTGAGCTAAGAAAGGACCCACAGAAGACTGGGAAGGGGCTCCCCCACTGCCCTTCTGGCCCATAGTGGGGTCTCAGCAGTGCTCTTTGGTCTTATTACATCTCCTGTCCGATATGTCCCTTATACAAAACCCGCTGCCACAACTAGCATACACAGCACCAGTGCAGTTACTCTCAGCAAAGGCACCACAAACTAACTAAACCATAGAAAGAGATTTGTGTTCTTGAGGTCTCCAGCAAAATACAGCCAGGGCTGTCCTGGGTTTTAGTGCAGTGGTTCTCAACTAGGGTGTTGCAAGCTCCTTCCCGAGGTGTTGCAATGCCCTAGAACTACCCTGTTATGTCCAGAAGCAATCCCTTCATATCCTATGTAATACACCCTTGCAGGACAGTAGGGTTGTGGCATGAGAGAAGCAGTGTATGCTGCTGCTACATCTATCCATATAGGGAATGAACAAAAGTTATTGGCCTGCTATCAAAGTGGCATTTTGCATTAGCATTAAATTCATACTACAAAGTGTGTCTTCAGTGTAATAAAGCATTAAGTAGGGCTTGCATTACAACTAGGGCTGCTACCATACCAAGGGCAGATGCCCTGATTAAGTTACATTTGCCCTTCCCTGTCCTCCATTCAGCCCAAGCTTTCCTGGGACCCTGTGCCATGCACATCTAAATGCAAGCGACTCTTCTGGGGTGTAGAACCAAATATAAAGCAGCTGCCACACACAGCCTATTTGGAGTTTATGTGAGTGTGAAGCTGAGGTGGCTGAGAGCCAGACCACATTTCAAGCTTCAGGGAAGGGGAATAAATGATAAAACAAGGCCGAGAGGCTTAACAAAAGGAGACTGGGACCACAGAGTCATGCACAGCTACACACAAGTTTACACCAGCTACAAGCTGGACAACAGCACGCTGGCCTCCTGCCTGACATGCTAGCAGGTACCAGCATTTAAAATGCAGAGGCTGTTTCAATGACATTTAAAGCAGGGTTTCTAAGTCTTTGTGGCTTCCCTTTCTTGTAATCAGGTGGAGATTGCAGACAGTGCTCATCTTATAAAGTGAGCGTGGCAGCAATAAGAGTTTTAATGAGAAATGAATGTAAATGTACATTAAATGTGCTAATTCAGCAGGGGGCGCTCTTCTCTCAGGAATCTCTCAAGCCAAGAGGCCCTTGGCACAGAAAGGGCACCACGCTGCCAGAAGCATGCCCATGTAAGAAATGTAAAAAATAATGAGGTACCAGACACCTGCAGATGACAGAGGTTGTCTGGCACTTTGCACAAAGTTAAAGAGGATTAGCCCCACAGCTCTGGCCAAATCCCACCAGGGTAGTTTATCTGCCAGCTCAAGAACTCTCTGCAGCTTCTGATGGATACTCAGCACTCTCCTCCAGCCTCTCTAGCTGTGTGCAGTGTTGTTCTGTTACTAATCCCCTGTTGTATTCCATCCCAGGGGAGGGAGGAAACACTTCATTGATGAGTGAACTTTCAGTGGTGATAATTGCTCAGAAGAATCAAAATGCTTGGGAATTAAAAATAACATCTGTCAATAGTCAAGGCATCAGACAAGCCTGTAAATTTCTCCCTTCTTATTTCCAATCTGAGTTGACCAACACAGGAAAGATTGATCAATTAAGCCTTTAAATCCTGATTCTGCAGTTACTTCAATGCAGAATTCTCTGTAGTTTCAAGGGGAGCTGGAGAATAACGTGATAGCACAGAACAAATTTCAGGAATTCAGTTCAGACTGGTCAACTGGGGTTACTGATTCTGTCATTTTCCCCTCCTCTTCGGGTTTCCTTTAGGTAATACTTTTCAAAAGAGTGAAAGTAGGGGTCCCCTTGGATCAGATTCAGCTGTTTGAGTTCTGGAAAATACCCCCACACCCCTCCAGTGCCTTAAAAACTGGAAGAAATATGTTAAGTTCTTCTGGATTCCAGATCCCCCTTCCTCCCTCCACTGAAAGCAGTTCAGTTCACAAGGCTGGCACGAGCCAGAGAGCGTAAACAAGGAAGCAGTATACCCACCGAGGAGGCAAAAGCAGCATGTGCATGAAGCTCACCATGTTTTGGACTGAGGATAGGAAATGGGTCTCCCAGTTTCCAGAAGAAATACATGAATGTCAACCAAACAAGACAAGCAAAGAACAGCCTCTTTCTGTGCACTGAGAAAAAGGGGAGAGAAGGAAAAAAAAGCAACCGTTATTAGGAAGTTTCCCTGTCTAAGATTCATTCAGGGCAGCAGAATCACTACATTGGTCCCAAACTATTGCATACAAGTGGGCAAAAGTGGAGCCACCTAACCCAGATACTTCTAGGGCTTTAAGTTATAAGAACCCTGGCTAATTCCAAAGGGCTTATCACCTGCCAGACATGGTATGCAGTAAGGCACTAGCAGAAGGGGCTGTTCCACAGGGAATGTAAAACCCACACCCTAGGACGTCACATGCTACTACAGGGCATGAGGAGAAGCAATGTCCCCACTCAGTTTTTCTAACCAGTGCAGAGAAAGAGCAAAGCCCCAGTTCTACCTTCCAATCACTTCTCCCTGGGGACAGGACAACAGCATGCTAAAAGGGAATGGGCCATATACCTGAGGGAACTAAAGGAATGAAGCAATAGCCCTCTGCTGCAGGGGTTGGGATGCCAGGACAGAGGGTTCAAGGATCCCAGCCCTATTTATAAACTCATATGGAAAACCAGGAAAGAAATGTGACAAGCAGCAGGATCGCTGCATCCCTGTATGTGACCAAACACATACGACTGTACATAATACTTGTCTTGAGTGCTAACCATCACAAGTGTTCTGCTAATTAAAAATAATACTTTTAAATAAAGATAATTTCCCCCTAGGAATTAAGCAATCTAGCTGGTATGAGACAGTAGGTAGAGGGAATCCTCAAGCCCATCAGTGAGGAAGGCGGTGTAGGAATCCTAGCACCATTACAACTGACAATTCCAAAGAAATATGACAAGGAATGCAAGGAATTAATGAGCAGATCAAAATTCAGAAGGTAAAGAGGACATGAAGGGAGATGGAAGACAGAAGAGGCAAAATAAGAAAACACAGAAAGGAAGCATTAAGGATGGTACAAACACCAGTTGTGTTGTAAGGGTGCAGCCAGCAAAGAGTAGTGCTCGCTAAAAACTAACCAATTTCAAGGATTTCTATGGTGGAAAAGAGGGAAAATGATATCGGTCCTGAGAAGTAGGACTAAGGCTGCATAGACACATACAGATAACTTGGAAGAATTCTCCTACGTTTGTTCTCCTGGTATAGAAACTTAGCCAGGACTGCATGTATAGACATTTGAATGCTGAGGCCTGAAGACTAAAGAGCTTGCAGTGCTGACATTGTGCAGCCCTGTGCACACTTTTCAGCATGGACTGCGTGCTCCTCTTGTCTGCCTGGTGACATACTGGAGCAGTGAAGGAGCAGCAGAGTCCAGTGAGCAACACTGTCTACTGGGGCTTTATGCAAGGGGTGTTCCGGAGGACTATGTTGTCTTCAGGAGAAGCCACAGCATGTACAGGTACTTGCACTCCCAAAAGATGAAACTCTCCCGAGAGAGCAAGTTTATTTATCCCTGGTTATTCCCAGGTTAGGTTTCTTTTGGAGCAGCCATTGCTACTCTGGGCAAAAAAATTCTGCGTATCTGTATGCTTGTGATTTCTCCTGGGACAGCAGTGGCTCTCCCAAGAGAAACTAAATGTCTGTATGAAGCCCAGGTCAACACACAACAGACCATGCCCCCTGCCAGGGATTTCATATTTGTCCCTAGTCAGTATATTTAACAGGCTACTTCTACCCTCAAGCTGCAATATAATGGATAGCAATCAGCAGCAACTGGGGCTGGGGAAGAATGAGCATACGGAAAAGGAACCAGATAACAAGAGGCATCAGCCTGAGGCCTCATCTGGACATGGTGGGAGAAAAAAGGCAAGGACTAGTTTAGTAGGCTTCTGTGTCTCATTTGTTGTCCCACTTTGGGCTCTAAGGATTTATGGTTTACTTCAAACAGTTGTAAAATCCTAATAAGGCTACCACCAGGCACCAGATATCTCTAAGTTACCTCTAAGAGAAAGGGAAGGAACATGAAGAAAAACAACATATGGAAGAGAAGAATAATCTCTCAACCTAATTACAAAGGGTTTGCAAATCCACAGGGGATGTCATGACTTGAATTTGGTGCTCTCTCTCTACTAGTCAGACTTAGAAAGAAGACTAAAAATCTAGCAAATGAACAGAGGAGGAAAGAACAGGAAATGTGGTTAGGAGGGGAAAGAAAAAGAAAGGATTTATAGTTTGGGTGCAGTAGAAATAACTGGAAGAGCAGTGGCTAAAATCAAGCAGGGAGCAATAAATAATTACAGTAAAATCCCTATTACCCAGCACAAGTGGGGAACGGAAGGTGCCGGTAATCTAAAAATGCCAGTTACCTGAAGCACAGGGGTTTCTGGCTGGTCGCAGAGCCAGGAAGTGTTGGGGGTGGTGGTGGCCAGACATGGAGTACAGAGATGGCGGCAGCCGAATGCAGAGCAGTGGCAGCTGCAGAGTGCACCGCGGAGCAGCACTCAGCGTAGCAGAGCAGTGGCAGCACAGGGTAGCCCACGCAGAGCGCCGCTGCCGCATGCGAGTTTCCCACCCCCCTCAGTGTCCAGCTGGTGGAGCAGAAGGGGGTGGGGGTGGCAGCGGCCATACAGAGTGGCAGTAGCCACCACATGTGAGCTTTCCCCTGCTTCCGGCTGGCCAGAAATTCCAGTTAACAGAGTATTCCAGCTAGTTAAACACTGGATAACAGGGATTTTACTGTAGGTCTTATGAAAAGGGCTGGAATTTACTAAGCTTGGATATACATTTATTTATATTTTATTTCTACAAGAAACACACTGCGATATGCTGGATGCCCTGAGAATCTTCACAGAGACGGGCAAAGAGGAGTTCCCCACTCAGGACGCTGTCAGAGCAGGAGAGGGTAATATCTTTCAAAGTCTGCCCACAAACTGTGCAAGCTTGCCATGATGAGACTGCATACTCACAAAGTCGGATATTGCTCACAACAAAATACCCAATGTAAAAAGGCACCATAAAGACCAGGAGGAGCAAAATCACATAGAGATTCAGTTTCCAGTGAAAATACCGGGAGCTGAAAGGAACAAAAAGATTACTCAGTGCCTACTTGAAATGCAAAGGACTCCTCTTAAAGTTAAGATACAGCTCCAGCTACCCCTTGTGACTAAGCCATGCAGCTGAATAATACTGGCTTAAAACAATGGTTTTCAGCCTGCCTAAGTGCGGTACCTTCCACAACTTCTTGAATTTGACAGCACCCCTGGTTGAAAACCACTTTTGAGCTGCCCCTGCTTATCTGTCATTCTCAACAGGGTATTACCTCATGCTCCTTACCTGTAGGTTTATCATAAAACCCTAATAAAGCAGGAAAGAGCAGAGATAACTCATGACTTTTGTGCTCTGGGAAAAATTCCCCTATGCCACTGGGGTTTGTGTATGGGAGGAAGGAGGGTGGGCTTACCTGCTGCCCCAGGTGTGCCCACATCCAGCTCCCCTGGCTGTGCAATGCAAATGGCAGCTCCAATACAGCAAGACACCGCTGAATGGGCAGTGCAAAGAGCTGCAGCCAGAGTGCATGTTCTCACCACAGTCTTTCCCAGTCTGACCCTGCATGCTCCTCCCAGGAACAGAGGGGTGCATGATACCACCTGACCAGCGCTTCTCTGATTCCAGGAAGAGCTTGGGGGGTTAGACTGGAAGAAATGCAGGAAGAGCAGCAGCTACTTCTTGATCTGCCTCTGTAGCCAGATTATCCTGGCTGTGGCAGCACCCATGTTGCAACACCCCTGGAAGGAGCTTGCAGTATCCTGGTTGAGAACCACTAAAACCCAGGACAGCCCTGGCTGTATCTTGCTGGAGACCTCAAGAACATAAATCCCTTCCTATGTACCTAAACAAAGGAGAGCAATAGGCTTTTGAATCACATACCCTGTGCCCATAATGGCAACACCATTAACTCCAGAATGCACTTAATTGTGCAAGAAGGCAAAATTAGAGCCAAGCAAATACTTGCTTTCTGGTTCACCAATTGAAACAAAAAAAGAACCCAGAAAAAATATGCAGGTTGACCAACCTAAATTTGATGCTATGCTGACCAAATATTCATTTTCAGATGGGCTGTTTTTTTCTAATTAAATATAGATGCATTTTAAAAAGTTTAAATTACATTCTAAGTTTTGTTTGTCCCCCCCCACTCCCTTTGCAGAAATTATATGCCTAGTTCCCCATATAGTCATTGTTTTGGTTGACCTTAAATTGTGGGGTTTGATGCATAAATTGTTTGACTGAAAAATTTCACCTAGCTTTAGGCAAAATGTCTCTGCATTTACTGTTGAACCAAAGTACAAGCACTAGTAAGAATGTCTGTCATTTTTTTTCTGGGTATTGAAACTGTAGATGCGCTTGTATATACTGATGTTTCCATGTACGATTCACAATAAAGAGAATAGTCCTTCTGATATTAGTGGCAGCAAATCTATAGGTTAATAATTAATTATGTGAAGTAACGTTGCCTTTCATCAGGTTTGAATGCGCTGCCTTAAAATTTCTCGGAGTACTCTCTTCTCAGTAAGTAAGAATAAAAAGTTAAATAGGAGCATTGGAGTAGACTATTTTTCTCTATTTTATGTCTTCTTGGATTCCTTTCTGAAGTAAACCTAATGGAAGGTTCTTTTTATATGGAAGGTTTGCTTCATCTAAAAAGCTTAAAAGCATGAAGGGAAATCAAAAGTACCATTAATTTATAGAATACTATCATCTTATTGCAGTATAATTTTTGCTCCTTTGTTAACATCTTATCATTGCATCAACCATCACGATGTATAAAGCAGCTCCTCCTCCTTGTAGTAGCCCTTTTATTTGTCACATTGCAGGGTTCTGTGGGTGTTTCAGTATTGTGTCTTGTAGGTAGATATGAGCATTTAAATTGGAAATTCTGGGGATTTCTTGGGTAAACAATTAATTGAAAATGAGAGGGACAGGACCCAATGGCTCAGAAGACCCCTTCCAGTCTAATCTTCTTATGTTCCAACTGTCTCTTCAGCTGTTAACATTAACAACATTTAACATAACCTGAATTAATCCTCAAAATACTCCATAAGGAACAGTGTAAATATTAACCCTATTTTACAGACAGAGAAACTAAGGCAGGGAGGTAAAAGACTTGCCCTCAAGACCCAGAGTTTGCCAGGAGCAGAGATCACATGGGAACCAAGTAGCTTTTGCCTTCCAAACCCGTCTTTTCCTTGAGAAGCAATAATTAACTCAAAACTAGTTCCAGAGCCCCTAGAGAACCCAGCACTGGCCATGTCCATATTTAGGAAGACTTGCCATGACAGCTCTCACACTCACCTGCTATTGAGCACCCCCAAGATCTCAAAGATGATGAGCTCAAACATGGTACAGGAGAAGGCAAAGGTCACGGAAAAGACCACCTGCACAACATACTGCCGCACCTGCAATGGAGCAAACAGGATACAAGAGTTACATCCATCTTCATAGGCTGCTGTCCATGTACATATCAGACACAAACCATGAGGTGTCTTAGTCAGCAGAGTCTATGATGTGGGGTGCCTTCCCCTGCCAAAATCGAAGATCAACCAGCAGCTGTTAAGAACCAGAAGCCTACATCCATGTCATACAAGAGCTGACTGCAGCGTAATATAGAGGGCTGTTTATGGGGAACACATACTACAGCATGCAGCAAAGATAAACTTGGATAAACATGGAGCACTGCTTGCAGTCTCAGCTGGCCCCATTTCTGAACTAGAGCAATAGGAGGCAACTATAAAATTCTGCAGGGCTGCATTAGGCCTGCCCTCCAGTCATCCCTAGCCTACACAGTTCTCTCTTGTATCACCACAAGTTTTCCCTCTTGTCTGAATGGACCTTTCAGACCACAAATGAGGAGGAAAAATGTTCCTTTTAAATAACTGGAAAGTATAACTGTAAAAGCAAAAAAAAGACTGAAAACTCAAAGGAAGGGGAAGTGCCTGAAAGTACCTTTTACTCATTTGATTCAAAGGCAACAGCATCACTTTGCCATATGCCAAATGACTTTGAATGAAAGGCCCCCTCCTCACCTCATAGTCCTTGAAGAGCTGACGCATGAAGAACAGCCACCCAAATCCAAAGAAGAGCACCTACAAAGAGATGCAAATCAGTTGGCATTAGGAAGCAGTGTGCAAAATGGGAAGCCCAAACGCTTCTGGGGCACACCACATCTGTAAAAGGAAAAGAAAAGGTAAAAAGCACAGAAAGAACAGAGCTTGTTCTCAAAGCAGTCTCTCCAGGGAGGTCCAAGATGACATTACTATGGAAAGAATGAGAGGATAAAGTGAGATGAAAAGCAGCTGACAGCATATGCTGCCTTACTTCACACCTAATAATGCAAGACAGCAAGGGTAAGTAGGCAATATACTACATCAGTTATGGGATATAATCTTTCCCCATTCCAGACCAACACAGTTCGACCTGCAGAACTGGTAATGTAGTTCCATCCACATTTCAGGGCTGGATCCCAGCATCCCAAGGGCTCCTCGAAATCAGTCTTTCCTTCTGAATCTGAAAAAACTGGTCCCACATTAGTGCTAGGCAATGCCTTGAACATGCCTACCATTTGCAAACCTTGCAGTCACAGGGGCCATGAAACTGCTTAGCTGCCATCAGTTTCAGAGCTTCTAACAGACATCCCAAGATTTCACTCCTTGTGTCCAAGATTTTGGTCCCCTTAGCCTTAATGCACTTCCTCAAAATGCTTTAGCAAGAGCAACTAAGTTAAATGCATTTAAGGTGAAAAGTGGTTTTGAAGGTAAGAAAGGGAGTTCCAGAAGAGTCATGGCAAAACAAGCAAAAACAAGTCCTTAAGAAAGTTACAAGGGAAAAACTAGACTGGCAGGGTAAGCCAATAACGTTTTGTCTCAGAAAACACCCATCACCAGTGATTCAAAATCCTTTAAAAATAAACCTTAGCACAGCCTCAGGTACCCTCACAGGAAGCAGATCAAGTATCATACCAATTTTAGAGATAAGCAAATTCAGAGAAACTGAGTTAAGGTGACTTAGCTAAAAAAAAATTAGTTTCAGAAATTTTGTAACAATAAGGAGGCCTGACCCCAGTTCCTACTTTATCCAGAGACCTACACCCACCTCCCAGAAGCTATCAAACTAAAAAAAAAAGGAAGAATACAAGTTAAGAGACACTAAATAAAAACAGAGCATAGAAATTTCTTTTAAAAACGATGCTTTGATGTGAGAAATGAGGCAAGAAATCAATGGAGGTAAGAGAGGATAGCACCAATTGTGTCATTCTGAGAGCATGTGAAAAGGTGAGCATTCTGGACACAAGATGTAGAAGGCTGTGAACTTTAGGGAGAACAGAGAGGAAACTAAAGCAGTAGAAACATAGCCATGACGAGGGCAATTTCTTTCACTACTCTGGATATAGAAGGATGAGATTTACAGACAGGAAGATCAAGCCCAAAATCTGGGTTAAGGAAGATCAAACAGTTTTGCCTTGGGGAGGGGGAAAAAAAAAAAGCAAAGTCTGAATGAGGACAGTGAATGATAGCAGCCGGAGAAACTGGGGAAGGGAGCAATTCAAAAGCAATTGATAGCAAAAGGGTAAAAATGGCAAGACTTATGACCACCAGATTTAGGTTCAGGCCATTTGTCAGGAAAGCACAATGAGGGAGTGCGATCTGCATAAAATGATTCCAACTCTAAGGCTAGTAAAGAGCAGCTGAAGGAAATGAGAGCTATAAACTAGAAGTGCAAGTCTGTCATCTGACAGAAAAGATTAGAATTAATTTAATACCCCCAAAACTGCAGACACACAAGAGGACATACAATCCAAGGAGGTTACAATATAAGAGACCACAAGCAACTCTGACAAATAAAAGATGGAAAGAAAGGCAAGAATAATAATTTGGCAGAAAGACACAGAGTAATTTAATTAACCAACCTGATGCCCCTGAAGATGATGGGAAGACACAAAGCCTCCAGCACAAACGAAGAGAAGGAAGTAATGATGAAAGGAGGAGCTGTCCAACTGGTAGTCTGTGGGCCACATCTTTGCTACCGCCACTGGAGTTTTGGCCTCCTGCTTCCACCCTTGGGGGTGGGGCAACACAGCAAGGAAAAGGGAGCCTGTAGGTGGGCAACTCAGGGGACCCCAGGGATCCTGTGCAATGTAGCACTGGGTCACTGGCATGGTACTGCAGGGTCATGCCTGCCACACAGTGCAGTGGAGGGACACAGTGTGGTGCAAAGGCACTCAACTACACAGCACTGCACAGCTTAAGGCCTGAACAACATACAGCCCCCAGCCACTCCAAGGTTGGACAGTCCTGATGCAAGGCATGCAATCAGAAAACAAATGGCAGGGAGATGCTTCCTCCAGAGTAGGTGATCAATATGAGGACTGAGGCTGAATTCAAAAAGCAGAGAATACCAACTCATCAGAGGCAAAGAACAGGGGGTGCCCACACACAAGCCTGACTGAGTGCCATGACGCAGTCCAAAGGCAGCCAGACAGCCGTCAGGGAGACCACACTGGGAGGTGGCCAGTTGAATCCAAGGCCCCCAGCACATGTTACACTTTGAGTCACCGAGCAGGAGGGCTGGAAGGGACCTCCAGAGGCCTTTTAGTCCAACCCCCCTGTGTGCAGCGGGATCATCCTTATCCAACCCATCCCGGATAAATCCTTCATCAAAACTCTACATCAGCTTATCGCCAACCCTGGCCTACCAGTGGATTGTGTCTTAAGTGGTTACCTGGCCATTTGTTTATGCAACACAATCAAAACAAGGAAAGAAAGACACAAAACAAAACAAGGAATAAGCCACAAGGTTATTCCCCAAATTAGGGTGAAGACCTTTGCAGCTGGTTCCTAGCACACCATTAACTGCACGTGTGGCCAGGGGGCACCTGCAGAGGAGGCTCCCAGCCCCAGGGGCCTAGAACCATGAAGCAGTAAGAGGAGGGGGTCACAGTCACAGAGTGGTCAGGCTGGGAGGCACCTCCAGAGGTCATCTAGCGCAGCAGTTCTCAACCTTCTTTGTACCAGGACCCATTTGTAAACATCGATGGCCAGTCCCCATCCAGTAAGTAGTTTAAGTAGAAAACAGCCCCCTGGCCCTGCCGGTGCCCCTCACTCCCAACCCACTGCCCCCTGCCCTCAGTCCCACCATGCATGGGGCCATGGGTGGGTGTGCGGGAGATGAGGGGCACCAAGCAGCCCTTTGCAGGCTGGACCTCTGGCAGCTGGCAAGGGAAAACCAGCAGTTTCCCACATTTTTCTCCTTTAAAGGACAATCCATTTTTAAAGTTTGCTCATGACCCTTTCACATATTCTTGCAACCTGCTGTTGGGTCGTGACCCATGGGGCTAAGAAACATTGCTGTAGTCCAACCCCCTGCCCAAGGCAGGATCAGCCCTACCCAAACCATCCCACACAACCGTCCGATAAACCAAGGCTAGGCAACCGCCAGCATGGGTGCCAGAGTGTGGCACGTGACAGCATTTTGCTTGGCACGTGTACCTTGGGGCAGATGGCAGGGAAGGGGCAGGGGCTGCACTGCCACAACAAGGATCGGGCCCCTTGGAGCTCCCACACCATCTGCCCTGACACAATAAAACATCTTACAAGCCAAGTTTGCAGGTGTTTTCGGCTGTCTGTCCAAAAACATTGCCGACTCCTGCTCGAAACTCTGCACTGCCATCAGCAATCCCTGGCACCCAAGGATGACCGGTCTTACCTGGAGGTTGAAAAGCTCTATATAACCTCTATGCTAAACAACACCGAACCCTGCCACAGCACCTGACCCTGTGGCAGGTCAAGGGCAGCCAACGCCCCGCTTGTACGCAATGCAGCAGGAGGAGAGGGAAGGCACGCAGGCTCCTGCGGAGGCCGAAGCACCTTCCCTCTGCCCATGCTTCCTGCTGTGCGGGGAAGGGCACAAGCAGCACCCTACAGCCATGACTGGGTGCAGGAACACTGCTGCCTTTCTTGGGTGGGAAGTGTTCATGCTTTGGACTGGAAATGGCACTGCCAGTATCACGGCTCTAGGGAAAGCCTGGGAGCAAGGGCCAGTGAGTCAGGCCTGACCGCTGATTTTGGGTTGCAAGAATATACAACAGGGTCCTGACCAAACTTTAAAAGGGAGAAAAACGTGAGAAACCATGGCTTTCCCCTTGCCAGCTGCCACAGCTCCGGCCTACGAGGGGCTGCTTAGGGCCCCCTACCCCACACACTGGGGGACAGGGAGCACTGGGTCAGGAGTGAAAAGCACTGTGTTGGGACTGGCCGTCGATGCTTCCAAATGGGTCCTGGTCCAAAAAGGCTGCTAGTTAGTGACTAATTAGTACTAAGGACTATTTAGAGGCGAAGGCTGCCCTCCCCAGGCGCCACCAGCCGGGGTCTCCCCAGTTCCCGCGCTCCCCCGCTTTCCCGCGCTCTCCCCGCGGCCGTTCCAAGCCCCGCCCCCGCCAGCCGGGGAGGGAGAAGGGGGCGCACCTGCGACGTGACCATAATGCCGGAGTCCACGAGGAAGCTCATGGCGGTGCTGCGGGGGGAGTACAAGGTGGCGGCAACGGCGGCGGCTATTCTCCGAGCGCGACCCCGCCCCCTCTCCTGAGCCGCGGACACTTCCGGGTGGGCCCAGTGACGCGCTAGCCCCGCCCACCGACCTGGGACGCGGCGCTGCAGGGAGAGCGCGGGCGTGGCCAGCGGCCAGGGGGCGTGGCGATTGGGTGCAGGCCAGGGGCAGGGGGTGGGACTAGATCGCTGGGGCGGGGCCACGGGGAGAGAGCTGGGGCGGGGCTAGAGAGCGAGAGGAGGCCGGGCGAGGCAGGGGCTAGAGCCTGGGGGTCCTCAAGGGACTGAGGAACCTGTGGTGGGGGAAGGGAGCGGGCCCTCCAGTGCGCACCCTCCCCCGCCAGGTGAGCTGGAGAGGGCTGCTGGGACCCCGAGTTCAGGTGCTCCGCAGGCCGTGACCCCTCTAACCCTGCGGGTAAAGGCCGCACCACACGTGGGTGGCAGGAGGCGCGAAGGTGGGATCCACCATCGGATCCCATTGCAACTTATTACGGCCGTCACGCCGCCGGGCTCAGCCAGCACCAGCAAGGAGCAAGCTCGGCCCGGGGAGAGCCGCAGCAGGGGGTCACAGCTAGGGTTGCCCACTCGGACAGACCCTATTCCGGGAGACTTTTTTTTTTCCCTATGTGACGCAATGTCATTAATTTCATTTTCTTAAAATATCCTACTAACGTCTCCCAGATGGCTTTCAGTAGTCGGGGAGATGGATGCCGATTCCGGTAGACTCCAGGCCAATCCAGGAGGGTGGCAACCCTGGTCACAGCATGTAGTGGACCCCTGTGGCTACGAGCTTTGTGGGCAGCTGGGGCTCTCAGCTGCCAGGGAGCAGCAGTGTGCACTGATGTTAATCAGTGTGCCATTAATGGCGTGGTAAGAACAAGCCACAAAGTTAAGCATTTTTGTGCAATAACTTTGTGGCTTAGTCCTTGTTTTATCATCGATTGCTTTAATGCATGCCCGGGTCACAATTTAAGACCTGATTAACTGGTGAATCATGCCATAAGTGTAATGTGGGGAAGGGGCCTAGGGAGGTGCATCTCCACCTTGGCTTCAAATTAACATGGCTGACTACCTGTTGTCTAAACATGCCAGTGCTGGGCCCCAGCTAGTGGCAACCTGTGCAAGGCTGGTGGGGCACATGGTGCTGACCCCACATTATTTCTCCTTCCTCAGTTGTGCTGTATCAGACTGACCCCACATCAAACACTCCCCTAGTGTCATCTCTCCAGGCAGGTACTTGCTTCAGTAGCCAGGGGGCTACTGCTATGTGAGGGAGTGAGAAGACCAGCAGTCTGCAATATGGGACCTGGGACTGAAGTGTGGGTACTGGGAGCACAAGTGGAGACAACAGCTCTACCAACGTATGACCCAAGCTCTATAAAGCCCTAGAAGCCCTAGTGTCAAGGTTAGGAGTCCTAGCACCAAAATGTCACCCCTGTCTACACAGCTCCTGCTCTTTGATTGCATTGTGGGCGTCTTCAGGGCTTGCAGTCTCACTAGAGAGATCCACCATCCCAAACTTTCTAGGACAGTCTAGAACTTGATGGCTGTGTCCCTAGAGCAGTACTTTTACCCTGATCTTGAAATATTTGGTGCCAAAGCTTCCCTAGTGTTCCAGCAGTGCCAAGAAGAGTCTTCCCAAGACAGGTGGGGATCTAGAGGAGGCCCAGTGACAAAGCTGCACCACTCGCCTTGGGTTGAGGCAGGAGCCTTCCCAGGACTTTCTGAAGTCCCTAAGTAGATGAAAACCCCCCTCCCTTCCCCTTGGTGCTCAGAGGCATATCCTCTCCCCTACTGCTCCCTGCCTGCTCCCTCCCCTACCTGTCACTCCTGCTGTCCTGGGGGTGGGGGAAGCTCCAGAGCCACTTCCGCTTGCCCCAGCTGGGGCTGCACAGGGGCTGAGATCAACTGGAGACAGGGACAGATGTTACCCCTAGAAATGTCCCTATTTTCTAAAGTAAAATTTTAGCATCTAAAAATGTAACCAAGACACCAGTCCAGAGGCAGGGTTGGTTCTTCCCCCAAACAAATCAGGTTGCTCCTTTTCAGAAGAATTAAATTTCTGGCCCTTACAGAAATATCCTCTGAGTGGCCCGCACATCATCCTACATAAACAGACCACATTCCCTACAGCAGCAAGAAATAATTTGCCACATAAAAGCCCCTTCATTCCATGGATTGGGCATGTCTAAAAGATGTAGAGTGCCTATTGGAGAGGTGAATTTGGCCCCTGAAGCCCTGCAATAATAGCATAGTGGGGAATGAACTAAAAGGAAAGTCAGAGTTCAACCATGGTATTTCCTGGATCTTGTCAGCTTGTGTTCCATCCCTCAACATTACAGTCAGGTGCTTGTTTGAATTTAATAGTATTTTATGTTTACTTATTTCTCAAAAAATATCTGCAACCCTTGCTAGACCCAGCCATCTATAAATGTGTATAAAAAAAAGAAGAAAGCATGGTAGTTTTAATTCAGTAAACCACAGGAGCACTGTTTGAAAATCAGGGACCTTTATTAATTACAACTCATTTCACCAAGAATATGATTCTCTATTTGGTTCTGTTGAGTCACCAGGTTGGTCCCAAAGTCTCTTTCAATCTTTTGGGCTTCACTTTCGTCACCAATCTTCTTGCTTTGATGTTTGTTACCTTGCTGATAGCACTGTGAAGAAGAAAAACATCACCTCTAACAGAGAAAAGAATTCGAGGAATAGAGTACTACAGAAGGATCTGGGGCCTTTCTCATAACTGCAGCTGCTGCTGTCTGCTGTCGTAACACTGAGGTCTGACTTCTCCAATTCCTCCTTCCTGTATCTACTTCTACTTAAAAATTGATTCCAATTAAAGCCATGGGGATTGTTAGATTTTAGTTGTGTTTTTTTGGTTTGGTTTGGTTTGGTTTTGGGCTGGGTTTTTTTGTAAAAGTATTTTTAATAATGGTTTTAATATAGGAGAATAACTCCACGCAGATTTCACCATTAAAACCTTCTACTTTTGTGTCTGTTTAAAAAAAAATCCTTGAAGTGTTTCTCCTTAATTGGAAATGACTGATCCCTGAGCAATGAAAAATACACACAGGGAACAAAACACTTTATATCAAAAGGCCTCAGATTCATACCTTCCCCACAGGAGCAGTCCTGTGGTGAAGGTTAAAAGAGGGTAAAAGAATATGAGAGACTTATTCCATATTTCTATTACTTGTACCATGCCACTGATATTCATGGTACTTCACAGTTATGTAACAAGACAAATTCTCATCTCTGAGGGGCTTACACTCTCAGGATGCAAACACATGACACACTTAGTCTGGAGTAATGTGACTCTACTCTGGAATAAAATTAGAGTGGACATATGGTACAAAGCCTTGCACATCAGTGTAAATTATTTTGCTCCAAGGTAAATTTGCTCCTTGGGTAAATTAGTGTAAGTTATACTGGTGTACTGGTTGTATATCCACTCCCCTAGTCAAGTTCATCCAGGGATAGCCTTTGCTCAGTATCTAGCTCCATCAGCTAGTGGTCAGGAACTGCAATAGCACCCATGGCAAGCAGCAAGCTTGTAGTGTGTCCACTCCTTCGCACTCAATAAATTTACTGCAGAGTAAAATCAGGGGTGAATCACTCCATAGTAAATGTGTCATGTGTCCACACCTCCACAGACAGAATGCAGACAAGGATGGCAGGAATGAAAAGGGAACAACATAAAGGAAAAGAAATGGTGGAGTTATTTTTGGCATGTTCCCTATGAGTTCCATGTTTTACAGTTAAAAAAATAAAGACTGTGGGAGTTTTTTTGATCAGTTTGTAATGGGAGATAACTTAAAGGACCTGACAGAAGAGTAGGAAGCTGACTGAGAGAAAGCTAACCCAAAGACATGTGCACCGCTGAAGATAATGGGAGATTTGCTACTGAGTCAGTGAGTATGTGATCAAAGCCTAAATGCACAGCCACATTTTTCAGATAAGGTTACTTAAAGTTAGACAATTATGTCCCTATTTAGGTGCCTTCAGATGTGGGCTTAGTCCTCAGAGGTGCTGATCACCCACATACCCTGTTAATTTTGAGAATTTTGGATGCTTGGACCACTATGCATAAATATAGACCTAAATGGCTAAATGTATACATATTGGCTACACTGTAGATTAAAAAAAGATAGTGATAGACTCTTCTGAGTCTACATATAGCCACTCATTCTTCTCCCAGCAAGGAATTAACCCATTTTGGGAACCTAAACCTTTCTTGGACACTTGGCATCTGAAACTATTGAGTAACTGCATAAGGTCATTTCAGAAAAGATCCTGTGGAAGTCAAAAAAGAACCAAATTAATCATCAGTTGCTGCAAAATGAGACACTCATAGGATAGCCATAGCAAGCACTAGAAGGCCACCAGCTCCATCTCTACAGGTGTTATTAGATGGATGACAGGGAAGTCATCTGAAAATGTTGAGGGAAGAAACAATGATAAATAAGCAAGAATAGCTCTTTATGGAAACACTACACAGCTATAAATCACCCGTGATAGTTGGTGCTTCTTTCCTAGAGGTGGTAATATTCTTACCTTCGCAGTGGTTTTCCGTGACTATTATTCTTGGTTTTAAAATCTAAATAACTAAAGATTGCAAAGAAAAAGAACTGGGGCAGTGGTAATTCACTGGTTTAGCATGTTCCATATGCCCTCTTTTGGCTGGACTACTGCAAGAATAAGGGCCCCTTACTGTTACCAAATAAAGTAACAGAAAGCTCAAAAACTGAAGACTCAGGTGTTTAAAACAAAAGGCTCCTATTTCTGTCTCCGCTGATGCTCCCTGGTGTGGAGACTGTTACACAATTTGGGGAAAGGTGGTAGGTGACCACCAACACAAAGCAGGAAAACAGCAGAATGGACGACCTTGTGAATGCTGTCATCATACAGTGTCAGCGAGGTGAGTGTTTGGAAACAGCAGGTATGTCTGCAGGGTTCTCCAGGACATAGTAATGATATCCAGGGTTAGCTGGCAGTTGGCCAGTCAGATTCTTATTCAGCTCTTCCCGGGATCAGAA